ATTCCTTTTTTTTTCCCTCAATCAGCATCCGATTTAACTCTACAGGCAGATCAACAATTCTACTTTTATAAGCTAAGTGCACACATCTGAAAAACTAAGCCACATGCCTTTTTAAAAAAAACAGAAAAGCACACAATGTTTTATTTAAACTACACCAAAATTCCCAAGTCTATCACTGCATGGATTCTCAGTCAGAAAATATATTTTAATTACAGCCTTTGAGAAGACTTATTTACTAGCTCTGGGGTAGATTTAAACTTTAAAAAAAAGAAGTATCCAACCATTTACTAAGCTCCCACTTTTGTTGGTAAATAATTATTACTGCAAGAGTCACAAAATAGTTCTTGATTGACAAACATTGTTAAAAACTAGCTTATCCAAAAAATTGTGACTAAATAGGTTTTAAAGTGCTTTTCATTTCGTAGTGCTTCCAAAAAGACAATTAAAACCATGACTTTACATTAATGAAAAAAAAAAAGATTTGCCTTATTCACAAAAGCAAACAGGGCTGTTTGAAGACAAAATTCATAAAGGCAAGAATAACTGAGGCATGCTTGTTAAAATAGCTTGTACATGCACAAACTACTGTCTATCACTCTTCACAATGAAGATACACCACTTTGTACAGCTTTGTAAAGAGAAGCTCACTGAAACACCTATTTGAAAAACAATGTGATTTTCCCCACATGCCAGAATTTCCTCTAAAAGCTTCAGTGTTATACCTTTTTTACTTCCTACTAAAGAGCTAGGACCTCTTTTACTTGTTGCCATCTTTGCATTTCTCATAGAAACCACACTTCAGATTGAAGCAAGTATGGTAAGTTATGGTGGCTTTGCTTTACTGTTGGAACAAGACATGGTCATGAACTTATTTTTCACACACCTTGTACGCAAAATTCAGGCATAGTTTCAACAAAACACACAAGACAGCTTTTAAGTACCACAAACAGCAAGCATAAAAAAACACCACCAAAAAAAAAAACAACCACAAAAAAAAAAAACACACACACACACACAAAAAAAAAAACAAACACTCATATAACACACCACAAAACTAAACAAGTTCAAAGGCAGTCAAATAGAACTTCTTTAAGGTTATGTCAGTTTACAGCTGCAAACCTCTCCAATTTTCTTTTTCCAAAGTTGCAAATCAGGATCCCTACATTCAAGTCCAATAATACATAACAGTATGACCATTCCACGCAGGTACCAACACCACAACTGTATTAACTAGTAGACTTTACAGACATATTTTACTTTTTTTTTTTTTCATATTTTAATCTGGTGAGTGATCAACCTACTTAAAAAATATTTTTACTAGTTTGCTTAGGTCATTGCCACAGTATTAAAGTTCGGATCTACTGAACCTGTGCAAAAAAGAAAAAAAAAAAAAAAAGAAAAAAAAACCAAACCAAAAAAGATCAAACAAAGTCTTGATGGAAGCAGAAATAGTCACCCACCAAAATAGGTAACAGTAAAAATACCAATATAAGTGGTAGCCTATTTCAATACACTTTTCCTCCAGCTTTTCCTAATTTTTTTTATCGCTGAAAGAACTCCATCAGTACAGGCAGGTGAACTAAAAACATCATGGCTACATATTAGTCTGATGAACTCATTCCTAATTAAAAGTTTCATAAGGCTCAAAAGTCAGAAACACTGAGCATGGAAGAATGCAGTTATGCTAAATTATGGGTACCTAGGTCTTCAAGTACTGTATTTAACAATAATTAACAAACTCTTTTGGAAAGGAGATGTGGAAGTATTTTACAAAAGACAATTTGAATATTAGCAGTTTCTTTCCAGACACTTCAATGTGGGCAAGACAGCACTTTTTAAAAAATGTATCACCCTGACAAGTACACAGCTCTTTTTTGTACTGCATTCTTTAACAAAACACACACCAGGCTTTAAAAACACACCTAGATAGCCTACATACTTTTGACACTCAGCCCATTCTTACTTTCTTTTTATCTCAGAAAGACAACAGAGTTAATATTAGACACTCAAGATTTAAGGCTTACATTTCTTACCTTACAAAGCTTCTGGTAACGGGGAGAAGAAACTGCCATCCTCTGTAAACGATGCAACAACACCACAACTTTCTGCAGAGACGTTCTCACCACAGCCATCATTTTAAGTTTGCCACACTTCTGGAGACACCTCAGAATTTGCATTATAAATGAAGAGCAACTATCATTTCCTCCCGGTCACTGGACAATGATTTGCCAGCTTTCTGAGCATGCTCTCTTCCAGGACTGCTTTTGCAAGCCACAGGCTTATTACGTTTCAAAGGCAAAAGAGGTTGATACAGCATAAGTTTTGCTCCCAAATTAACCCCACAAAACAAATGCAAAAAAATTAACTGCCTGCACGGATTCTTGTACCCAGTACTGCTCAGCTCTGCTGTGCAGAGGGTAAATGAAGTTGTTGAGCAGCCAAGCGTCTGCTATCGTTCAGGAGAGCACTAAATAGCCAAGAAAGGTTATTAATTTAAGCCTGAAAGCTGCAGGAACAAAATAAAAGGAATTCCTTCAGGAAGACGGCTCCAGTGTATCACAACAGTTGTTCTCCCCTAGTAGCTGCTTTTTATCGGCAGACTGAGCATTTGCTCCCTCACTCTGGGAAAGGATGCTCTCTCTGTCAGGCTGAACGCAGCTCTGGCAGAGCTGTAGAGTGAGTGAATAACAGACTGTGTTATAAATGTTGAGAGCTGAGCAGAGGGATACCTGCCCTAATTATATCAGCCATACATTAAAGACTAATAAATCACACAGGCACTTATCAAAACTAGATAACCCAACGCAAAAGAAAAAATTTCAGGGGGTAAAACTCTCTTAAAGCTAAATTAGTCAAAGGAATCTCAGAGGATTCTTACTTACACCAGAAAGTAGAAATATTTTTTAAGGAGCCATTTCCAATTAAAATCTTCTCCTGAATGACTTAATAGGACAAGAAAGAACAGGGGTTTGACAAATTTAAAGCACACAGTTGTGCCATCATCCCCTTTTCTAGCCATCCTTGAATCCAAAGAGCTAACATCATTTTGATGTTTTTCCTGTGACAAAGCATTTAAGCCATCTAAGGATGGCAGTAGGACATTCAAGAGCAAGTTAGAGCTCCACTACCAGCAAGGCACTCCCAATGCAATACAGCTATTTCTTACTGCTTCCAAAGGTGCTATGATGAACCTACTTAAACCTGTTATTAGGGGGTGCTGCAGCAAAGGTTCAGGGGGGCCAATATCAACACAGCAGGTGGCAAATGCCATTAAAAGTAATGTATTACTAGATGTGCTCATTGCCATATGAACAGGTACATACACATTTCAAGCACACAAATCAGCACAGTGTGGAGGCACCAACTACTGGTAGCATGATGAGTTCATATGATCCTAGATAATGCATAGCTCGGATGACAGAGCACTGGTTTGCCTCTTGTCCAGGCACTTGCCACCTGAGGGGATGAATGCCAGGTACTGCTTCTTCATACAGGACATTTAAAAACTCTCCTCATCCAATTCTGCTAACGCAACATTGTGAAATAGTTTTATCTTGGTGTAACTGGCCACATAAAACACAAGGTAACGCAGAAAAAAACACAACACAGCCTCATGTTGTTAGCTCCCCATGGTTCCGTTTTAGCTCTTCCACCTCTACTACACTAGTTGTTTGGGGTTTTTTTTGCCAGTAGAAAGTATAATATTAACTTCTAGGTGTTGCCATGACAGACTAGTCTCAACGTTTCATAGAGCCACTTCTCTACAGATGAGTTACCTTACTGACCAGACTCATACAAACATTTGTGAGTGAAATGTCATCTTCAGACACAAGCTTCCACAATATATTGTTCTCTTCCTTACAATTACAGAAAGCAGCTTGCATCAGATACTTTAAACTGTCTTGTTTCACTTAAATTCAATGTAAATATGTTCAGATTAACAGTATTACTGAAAGCAGCATGTTTTTTCATTATAAATTGTCCAAATCTCATGAACATAGATCATAGATTACATTATTCCAAACCCAGAGTGCAGGATTTAATAACTGATCTAGCCATCCAGTTCTGTGCATATCAAAATGACTGTGCTAAATGAGGCAATCTAATTGAAGGAAAAAATACAGTAAAACATTCAGGAGAAACATGACACATGAACAACAGTCACAAGAGGTAAACAGGGCAAAGGAAATTCATATACCTTAGAAACACACATCCTTTTAGCCAGTGATGTTCAACCTTTTGCTGCCACAGGCTCAAAGATACCATTTTTTTTAGGAGCTGTCAGGTTTTCCCAGGTTTCCTTCTGTAATCTCTCAATAAACTGTAACCTTGATGCAGTCTGAACCCAACTCCTCTCCCTCCTAAATCCCTGAAGGAGATGTATGGCATATGCAAAGGCATGAACAGCCCGATGACATGGTACTCAACTAGTCCATGCTTCTTTGGACACGGAGAAGGGATCTCCCTTCTAGATTTCAGCTGTATTAAAAATTACTGTGGCATCAGTAGTCTCCTCACTTATTTCTCAGGTTTCCAGCCTGTGCCTGTATAAGAAAGAAGGCCAGCTGGAGAGCTGCTGGGAAGCAGGAGAGGGAGAAGAGCTGATCCAAGAACAAAAACTTCTTGGATTTCTGGAAAAGTAGGAGGAAAGCAGCAAGCAGGATAGGAGACAGTGCAGCACAGCAAGGCTTTACTTGGAGGGAAACCGATGGTTTGGTTGGACAATCACACAACATGACCTTGTTTAATCAAGTATACACTTCTACATAGTTATCCTCCAAGGACATTTAAGAGCCCTCAGTGCCACAGATGTCCACAAAATATGTATTTCAAACCTTAGGAAGAAAAATCTGCTTCACACACCCGACTTTAAAATGCTGTGTTTTTAAAAAAAAAAAAACCACTTTCCAACAGGTTGCAAGTTTCCCCAGTTTTGTAGACAGCTTTCCTTTATAACATTTGCCACTGATAAAAAGCATGAATGTTATTTAGTTTCTCACCTGCATCTGCTTCCTGAGTTCCCTTAAGCAGGTGCTGTCCCGAGCAGTGTTCTCACGTTGGGATGCATCTGCTAGAACATTAACTGTTGTCTCTGCTTCTTGAAGCCACTTGAGGAAACTCTCCAGATCCTTGTGTGAGGCCTGTACTGTCTTCAGCTCTGTCTCCAAGAAATTCTGCCTATCAACAGCTCTGAAAACAAAATAAGTGTCAGAATATTCCCTCATAACATACAGCATTACATACACCATAATAAAACTATGAAAAGGGAATCTGAAAGTTCTTCCTCTTGTTAAACTATGTATCTGTCACAGCTTGTTTTTATCATTTTTATCACTGTTTCCCTGTTTATTCAATCAATAGCTAACTGCAGATATTCTGAGGTGGTTATACATGTCACAGCCCTTTTAAAAGTTAAAAAAAAAAATCTGTTTTTTCCTTTTTGAGTATTGCCATCACAGACTTATGTTACCCCAATGGTTGGAAGTGGTTTTATTCCCATGTGTGAAAAGTGTGAATGCTTTTCCTCACCACAAAAATCACACAGAATAGAAGCACTGAGGGTTTGGGGGACTTTCTGGTCTTTTATTGTGAGCAGAAACATTTCCCCAAATTTGTAAGTGTTAAAGTGCTAAGGGATGAAAAGTTAAACACCTAGTTCTCTGCTAAAACACAAGACTTTTGACACTATTGGTCAAACAAGCAAAATAATACACAACCATCACAACAGTCAAGCCACGCTCAGCATGCTTAAATCTAAAATCAACCTGGCAGAATATAGTCCAAATTTTCAATCAATCCTAAAGATCTCTGGTTGGTACAAACAAAAAAGTCAAAAAGGGTTTTTTTTAAGATGTAAGGAACTAATTTTAAGCCTTGGATTATATAGTTTCCAAAGATTTCCTAGAAAAAAATCACATTTTGTGTGTGTGTGTGTATATATACATAAATAGAACTCCTTCCTTATAACTGAAATAAAACTCAGATGGGAAATTGTTGTAGTCAGCAATTTTAAAAGCTCTCATTAACAATGTTAATTAAAGCATGACAAGCTATATTTCATCCATTTGAGGCTGTTACTCTACAGTATCTCTTTTCCCAAAACCAGGACAAAAACAAGCTGTCCCACACCTGCACACTGTACAGAAATCTCTACCAAGTCTACTATCTAGAATACTGCTGCAATATAAGGAGGAAGTTTGATTTTACTTTCACATCAAGCACTAACCACGTTGTCAGATTTCAAAGGTAAAATTAGATTTAATTTCAAGTAATACAAGACCAAAACACTCAGCATTTGTTATTTTCACATGAGCTGAATACATCTCTCCAGACAGGCCCATCAGACTTGTGTCTTCTGCCTCCCCATATTCAATTTAAGGCTTTCTTTTCTTTTTGCCTTGCTGTGGCACCAGTACGGCTCAGCAGGATTAGGGAATCATAGTGTTTAGAATCACAAATTTCAAAAGTAGTTGAAATATTCTCTTTAGAAAAGAAGCTGCAGGTATTCAGTACTATTCAGGATGACATTATAAGGCAGGTGTTCTGGTTTGCTAGCACATCAGAAAAGACAGATGCAAGGAAAAGCTGTTTTCCTTCAAGGACAGTAAGAAAAGCTCATGCAATTTCAGTTCTGTCAGGCTTACATTCCTAAGTATTAGCAAAACCAACTGAATTTTCTGGAGATGACTTGCAAAAAAGATAGTGTTACAACCCCTGATTTAGTAGCTTAGGTCTTATGTCATTTGCTAGTAATCGTTTTATCTAAAATAAGTCTGTGTGGATCGTTCATGACTTTATGCTTGCCCGGGTTTTGGTCCTAGTAAATGACTAGCAGGGCAAGAAGCTTCATTCTTGCTTCTAACTAGAAGCTCTGGAATGTTTCACCCATTCTTGAGAAAAAAAGAATAAATGCTAGGGATTACAAATGGCTTTATAGATATACACCAGAAAAGATAACAAACATCATCTCAAAAATTAGAGCACACCAAGGAATTGAAAGAAAAATGTAAAGTAAAAGCTGTTGTGAGCTCTGACTTCAAAATACTCTCCCCTCTGCAGGGATCTTCTCCCTTGCAGGGGGTTAAGGCCAAAGGTGGAAGAACAGGAGTGACAACAGGAAGAACAGACTGGTAATAAAGGTGACCTTCAAAGAAAAAGAAAATCCCAAAGGATGAAACACTGTAAGTGACCCAGATCTTTTAGTCTATGTGCTGATGTAAAAGATAGGGATTGAGACAACCTGAACTTTGTAGCTAATAACGTTCATTGAAGAATATTGTCTTCAGCATAAAGTTTAAAATTCTCAAACTTTCTGCTTGGATGAAATTAAAAGAAAGAATGAAATCCTATTACAGTTCCACTGCTGCCATGATATTTGAATTAAAGTTGAAAATCATTCCTTCCACTAAATACAGGCTCCAGCAGCAGCATAAATTAAGAGAATTACCACTAACGTTCTAAGATTACATGGGTGCTTTTAAAGAGGACCTGTACAGCAGTAGCAAGCAATACTTTCACAGAGCAGACACAAATACTCCTTCCAGTACAGGCCACAAATGTAAAATAGAAAATGACAGGGAACTCTATACTGCAGATCAATGACTACCCCATGTGATGAAAAGATTACTCAGATTTTTAAAAAATTCTAATACAACTAGAACAGCCTCAAAGACAGACGGTCCTTCCAGGATGTAACAACTAAACATAAAGAGAACCTAGAGAATTCTTTACAAATGCAGCTAACTTCGCTTAACACAGTGACTGTGGAGAAGGTCTAAACAGATTCTACTAGTAAAGACACATACAAGAAAAAAAATTCTAGCCCTACTATTTAAGTTTTCAAGGCCTTGTTTCAGGTTTCTGTTCCAGAATTTTTTTTTCTTTCAGATTTAAACTAAAAATCTGCAATGCATACAAGTGTGTGATCAAAAGAAAATAACAACTGAAGACAGCAGAGACAGCAACTATATTCCATTAGTGATGCAGTAAAAACATACAGAATTACTAAGTTTCACCCTGAAGTATAAAGATTGAAGACAAATAGCCACTGGGCAGTGTATTCAATATACACAATGCCAAGCTGGAAGCTTCAATCTCTTAATGCCAACAGTTTTAAAATAGGCTCCTTCAAGTTTATATGCCACAGCCACGGTCTTTTCTGGTGGTGTTCTTGTGCTAGTCAGGACTGCAAGTCTCCCAGGTGATGTTACTACGGTCCCCTTCCACAACCTTCAAGCATATGAAGAAGCTGGTATTTTAAAGCATTGTGCTATACATACAGATCTGCACTTTTAGAAGCCACAAGGCCACGTGTGTATTCCATGTATAACCCTGCACGTCCCATGTGAAGTAAGCCTTGTCACACTAGGTTCACTAATATTTCTATTTACTGCATTTAAAGCAAGTATAAAAAAAACTTCATTCCCTTGAAAAGGCACTTTTGCTGCACATTCTTCCCTTTTAATTCTATTCTCTCCTGGTTATGTTGAGCAGCTTTGCACTGTGGCTACTCACTGGCTCTTGAAGTTCTCCTAGACATTCTGTCCCTAGTTAAAAAACAAAGCAGATACTTAACTTCCTAAGGCTGCAGACTGCAAAAACAGTAATAATTGAGGAGCTTCAGTTATACACAACATAATGCAATTGCTTATTATTCTGGACTTTGAGCATATTCAAAAATAATCAGAGGCTTCCAGGCAAGAGCTCTATTTTCTGGTCACCTGCTCCGAGTGGTGGGCAGTTTTATGCCAGTTCCAGGCAAAACACTGCAAAGTTTGAATGTGAATGAGACACTCTACTACAAAGCTGTTGGATCAGCAGCAACAGTAGACTACAAGAAGCAGTTTCCCCATAGCCTCTAATTGCACCTTCATCCTAAGATGTCAACATGACATTCAATTGAAGTTAATGGCCTTTTTGGAAAAATTATTATTTTGCTTTGAGGAAAGAAAGGGTAGTGAAAATGCTGCAGTCTCTAATCTTAGTGCAAATGAGCTGTCAAGAAGGGCCATTTCAAGAGATGACCACATCATTGTGACCTAGTTCAGAAAAAGTAAAAACAAAAAGCCAAGGAAGTTGGCTTTTTACCATCATATGCCAAAGCCATTCCCTACAGTCTGCTGGATGTTTTCTGAAGAACCACAAAAACAAATTGTCTGCCTCAAACAGAATAATTATTAAATGTTAACTCATTTGAAAAATCCTGTTTTATATTTCAAAACATTTAGAGATTAACAAATTCTTCTTCTTTCTCAAAGAATCACATGGAATGAGCTACACAAAGTTTTAGCTGTTTTGTAAATCATCTCTCAATGGACCTAAGCAGGAAACTAACTGTCACATCAAAAGCATAAAATGACACAAGTACCATCTTTCTTCAAAGGACAGAATCACACTCTACACTGCTTTCTTCATTACATCCTTCTTGTCACTGACAATTTCTCCTTTTACTCCCCAGGACATAACATGAGCTTCAGAGACTTTATTACCTAGGATTTTTATTCCCTTAACTGACATCTCATTATACGAGGGGCATGTGCCCCCTGTACATGCACATATATACACACACACATACATACTTACTTTGTCATCTCCCCCAGTCCATATACACTGGATCAATTTTACTTTCTGTCTCTCTAACCACAAAGATTATCATCCTTTCAGCTGCAGGCACTGAGTCACACACTATTATAAATGTTAATAGTCTATCAAATACTAAAAATAATTTCTGCAGAGATTAGATTACTGTCCAGGGAAAAAAAAAAAATATTATGCAGAGAGAAATGCCATCATTTCATAAAACATATTTGCAAATATGTCTTACTAGAGGATAAATAGATAGAAGTAAGTTTCAAGTAAGCATCACTTTCTATTGCTCAAGTATTTTCCAGATGGGAACGCCAGAACTGTTATACTTGGGAACCCAAACCACAGCTCCATAAAGGGTAAGTTTCTGTTACATGAAAGTTTATAATGAATTAATGTGTTGGAAGACCAGCCTTATGAAAAGAAAGCACGGCAACAGACTACAAAGACATTAAACACAACAGCATCAAGGAAGGGAAGAGGATCTTCTAAGACACTAAGAGAGTAATAGCCACAGGCAAACCTGAGACTACACAAAAGTACTCTCTTTTCTCTTAAAAAAAACCAACAACAAACAAACAAACAACAACAACAAAAGCATCAACAAAAAACAGCACATATATGAGAAGTCATACAGATGCCTTCCATGGTGAACTGTGGGAATTGCTATAATCAAAACTCAAAGTAGCATCACTGTAATTGACTAATTAACACAATAGCCCTAAATGCTGCAGTAAAGCAGACAGAGAAGAGACTGCAATAAATAAGCATACATAGGATACAAGTTTAAGACAAACAGCCAGAGTGAAATGATGTAATTACCTTTGGTTCAGGTTAACCCAACAAGTGTTCATTTGGTCAGTGGTTTCCTTCACCCTCCTTGTGTCATCATCACGATATTCTCGAAGAAGTTTATTAGAAAGATCATTGAATGCAGCTACCGTGATGTCACCTCTATGCAAATCCTGTACTAACAGCTAAAAAGCAATTCCAGAATGAGACAGAGGAAAATTAAAAATCATACTATTTTTCATATTATGCATTTTATCATATTGTAACCACCCTCCTTTTTGCCTTTTTTTTTTTTTTTTTTAAGTGCACTTTTCAATCTAGAATAAAATCTTAAAATATACAGATACTAACTGTCCTGACAATGAACCAATGGAAACACAAATAAAAGAGGAAAAATTATATTTGTCAGGATGGACAAAGGCTAGAAAAATCCTCTTCTGTGTTTTACCGGTTAACAGAAGTAAAAGCACTTCCATATTTTTAGTAGCATTAATAAATTTAGATTATGCTAATAGTGGTATAAGCAGCAGCTACAAGTGGCATAAAGGAAGTGCATAGCATGAGAATTTGATTTCACTGTTTTGTTGCTTTGTGGGGTTTTTTTAAATGGAGAAAATACATTTAAAGTGTTTGCTTATTGTGGCAGGATATTCATAAGTTGCCTTGACTTTACAGAATCCTGAATTCAGGATTATTTCTAAATGGAAAAAAACAGATTTGCATATACATGTTGAGTTCTAACAATCTCAGTACTATATGCTTGAGCACAAACCTACTTTCACTTAAGAAAGCAAAGCAGACCTAATCATCCATTTCCAGTCCCTGCTAATGTAGAGAAAGACAATAAGAAGCACACAATTTTACTGTTTACTGAAATAGCTATGGATCAGTGAGTAATTCTCACAATCATACTCTGTGCTTCTTTCCACATTCAGATGCACCCCAGCCTTTTTCCTTCATGACTATATAAATGTGTGTGTATATATACACATACACACTTTTTCTAAACTCTATTATAGCCCTCTTCTAAATATTGCACTGATAAAAGCCCCTCCTCACTGATTCATCTCCAGTTCTCATCTGTGCCCTTTTGCTGACAGCCACCAGGACAAAGACTTACTGATATACCACAGCAAATGCACTGTGATATGAAAAGCAGCAAAGATAGCATAGGTTGGCAGGGGGGAGGAAGCATTGAATGCACCTGGCATCCATCAGAAGTGAAATTCAGGATAATTTTAAATAACTTGGTCCATTCATGGATTTCCTATTAGGAATTATATAGGTTTCTATGAAGAAATACATGCTACATTCTGTGGCTGTGTGATTAAACTTCTATTGGTTTGAGGTTCAAGCTTTTTGCATTACATCATTTATTTGATGCTACTCTATACCCATTTCAACTACACTTACCAAAAGACATATATGTCAACTATTTCCTTCCGAAAAAGCAATTCTCAGGAATTCTGATATATATAAAAAATAAGGAACATTTTAAATATATCATGCCCAAAAATAATCAGAATTGCCAAATCAGTCCTATGACTAAACTGTATATTTGTACATCAATCGAATCTAGTAGCATATACTGAGGAGTCTGATGAGGGGAAAAAATGTAGATGTTCTTACTTTGTTGTCTGCAATCCGTTTGGTGAGCATCTCTTTTGGGGACTGCAGGAGCATACGCAGACGGATCTCACACTGCTCCATAAGGTGCTCCATTTCTTGTCGCTGTTCATCCCACTGCAGACTGTCTGTCAGCATGTACTTCAGCTGCTGCTGCCGCACCTCCACACCATGCTGAGTATTGTCCCACTGGTTCTTCACCCTCTCCACTGTGGAGGACAACACAGAATATGAAAAACCAGAGGCAAACAAGTAGCCATAACTACCACTTCATTGTCAGGACAAGAGGCAATAATATAATTCATTCTTGCAAACAGTGGTTTCCATGTTCAGTATTTCAGCTCCCCAGATAGTTTACCAAATTCACACAACCAAACAAAAAATGCAGGTGTTTGGCTACCTCTTGTTTAAGCAGGTCAGCCTGCAGATAACAAGTATTATTTCTGGAATATTTCAAAGGCCTTATTTTATTTTTTAAGCACACATATGTGGGAGGCAAATCTGTCGCAGCAGCACGGCAGATATGCCAGCAGCAGCACTCCAAGGAGCACAATTTTAATGTGATGGCTATACCACCTTTGTGCATCTGCAACTAAACAAATTACAAATAAATATTTACTGTTTAAGTCTGGATAGCTTATACAAAATGAACTGAGCTTCCCAGACCACTCTCTGTTGAATGCAGTCTAGTGGCACCTATACTACTATTTTGGTCAAGGCTCAAAAACTCCAGTAACAAAAAACTAATACTTTCATTCCACCACTGGTTTCAACAGGCTTACATAGATTACACAGTGAAACAGAAAGATATTGATCACACCCTATTTTCTCCAAGTAGCCTGTTTCTTTCTCAGTAGAGTTACATTAGATGTTCGATAAATAGGTTTTAACCTTTAATAAACAGAGGGTGAAAGAGACATGGCAAGAGCCTAGAACAAAAAGTAGTGTCAGGGAAAGCAGCAATTCTGCTTTGGAGAGAAACTAATAACGTTATAGATTTCCTTAATACTAACAGACCAATAAAAAGTACTACATGAAAGTCTATAGAGGTAGAAACAGTTTCCTAATTACCTTTCATGACAGTTAGTAGGAAAACATTATATCACCAGAACTAAAGACTAAAAAAGTAAATGTAAAACAGCAAAAAAAGAAAAATGAAGCTGGATTTCTTGAGTATATCTGTACTCTGAGCAGCAACAGGTAGGCAGTATGTAACACATCCAATATATTTATCTTCCCAGTAAGTATGCAATTTCATTAGAAAAATAACTCTAATTTGATACTTGGGTCACTTCTACCTTCCATGTAGCAGGAACGCCCAACGTTGTGAAAGGCTAAAATCATTTACGTGTCAGTTAACTTTATCTTTTGCATTTATTTATTTATTTATTTTTAACCTTTTACAATTATACAAGGCTATTATGCTTGATCTGCTTGGGAAGATCTGAACTTTAATGCATTCAACAATATGCTGTTTAGTTTCACAGAGCTCTCAGACTGTGACTGTGAAGCTCAGTTGTCAGAATAACTGTACTACTGGTGGACAAATCCAATAATCTCTGCAATATGGATTAGTCAATTTCAGCCCACTGGCAAATTTTGGATTAATTTTCAGACATGACATAGGTCATGCTAAATGAGAACTTATAAAAAAGCTTCAGTAACCTAACAGCAAATAATAATAAGTTCTTACAAAAAAAAAAAAAAAAGAGAGAGAAGTTCCTATATTGGATAACAGGCACATTCAAAGGAAATGGGCAAGTGCTTCAGCAGTACCACCAAAAAACCATCAAAACAGCAAAAACAAAACCAGCAGGAGTTAAGAAAAGGCTGTAACTCTGTGTGCTGTCTAATGAACTGCAGAGAAAAAATTCCAAAAATTTTAGGCTCTCCTCACAAAGGTAGAAGGAAAGAAATATCCCTGAGAAACAGCTGCCTAGAATAGCAACTTGGTTGAAAATTATAGATATTTGATGTATTATTATTATTATTATTATTGGTTTTGTTGCTATTGTTATTATTGTTGAAATAATATTTCTTAATACATTTTTTCCTGTTTGATGGCCAGTTTAACATTATTCTCTGCACTGTTGACATATTTCCACTTTCTTCTGTTTCTACCAAAGCAGGACAGAAAAACAGTTAAATTCTTGGTAGCCTCAGCGTCAGTGGGTTCAACATGTAGGATCCTAGAAAAAGTTGTCAGGGCCACCAGCCTGGTATCAAAGGCAGAAAGATTGGAAAGAATTCATTATGAGACTGTGTTTTTAATTTCCAGTGTCCATGCAATAATTAGAAGGGAAGTTACAGAGAAGGATGCTTTTCTCTGTTTCTGTGATCTTAGCTATTTTAGTAATTAGGCTTCACTTAACAACATTCAGCAGGCTCACAGGAGTTTGTAGGACATTGATATATTCCCCTCAGTTTCTAAACAAGGTGCATAAAGCAGTCTTGAGCTTCACTATTCTTCAAATACCAAGTTTTCCTTACAAATGTCTGTAGCAATAAAATCGTCAATTTTTCCCACATTTCAGGTAGCAAAATCTTCACATGCATCTAGAGTATCTACTGGAAACTTCATCCATTGCAGCATACACAGATTCTCTGTTCCCACCTTAAATGGGCATGACTATAAGGGAATTCAAATTTTCCAAATATATACACTCAAATTGCCCACATTCCTTTATTCCTTGTTCACCATTTTTAAAGAATCAAGAATATGTTATGACTGATCTCATCCTCTCTTGCTGACTGACTCTCATGGACTACATAAATATTATTCTATCCCAAGTTTCCACCTGATCCCTAGTTCTGAAAAACTGCACAACTCAGGCCATATTAAGAACCTTATGAAGGTCGACAAGGTCAAGTGTAAGGTCTTACACCTGGGAAAGCGTAACTCAGAAGTGCAGTTCAGACTGGGATGCACTTGGCTATAGAGAAGTTCTGTGGAAAAGGACTTGGGGCCTTGGCAGACAATAAGCTCAGTATGAGTACACATAATTAGTTCCTTTTATCAATAAATAGAAAAAATCCTCATCCTTAGGTCTGTTGCTGTCAAGTAACTCAGACTTCAGAAGATATTACCAAATCCTCACAAAAATCTTTACCTTTGCACTTTAAAAAATGTTCTATCAAGTGGCAATTCTTGTTCTGGGCATTTTCATTAGACTGTGAGAGCAAAGGCCACTTAGCTGCTAAGTTTTTCATTTGTTCAAGGAAGGTAAATTCAGTTAGACTCAAAATCAAGAGCTTAAGTTATGAAGATTATTTTACTGTCTTCGAAACACTGTATTTACAAACACATAACGGAGAAACTTACGTTTTTCTGTGATCACTGTCCTAATGTCTGTACTGGAAGTTTTATTTTTCAAATTTTGAGCCAATGTAAAAACAGAATCAAGCTGAGGGTGCCGCTGGTCCAAATCTGCCTTTGTTACCTGTTGAGAATTAGGAAACAATTTAAGTCCAAAAAGCATAATGTAGTTAACATTATCTGCATTATTTGTAGATAAAACAAAATATGCATTTATTGCCACAATAAATGCACAAGTAAATCTAACCCTTGAATAGTTACAGTATTATAGCACTGCTTTAGAAATAAAAAATATTCTGAATTACAGTTACTGAAAATCCAGAATTGAAGGATAACCTGTACAAACCACACAGTTACCACAGTCATTGCTCAATATTTTCCAGTATCTATTTTTCACTCTCCCATAACTTATTTTCCTCTTATCAAGCTCTGATTATTTATATGCTGGGGTAGGGGGCAGGGGGAGTGGGGAGTGTCACATGAAGAAGGAAAAGAACGGGGTGGAACAATCAGGCTGCATATTGAATAAAACCAGGTATTGTGTCACTATGGCAAGGTACTGGAAGCCCATATTATACGTATTACACAGGTAAAAGAAAGCATTTCCGAAGTTTCTGTACATCACATTATTGTTTCAAATTCCAGATTACGTTAGAAACCCACAGAAAATGTCTTTTTTAGCCTGCAGCTTTTACACTGCAGTTACTCATGTTAATTGATATCGAGTAAAATAAAATGAACCCTAATGGTAACATACATCTCAAAAATACTGCCTTTAGTCATCGCTCAGCATAGCATGAGCTATCAACAGAAACAAGCATTAACATCATAAGCATTTATGTTATAACTTTCAATAACTTTAACATGTCTCTGAAAATCAGTTTAGTCAACAGCAACACAACAAAACTTATTAGAAACCACTGAGGAGTGGATCATAAAGGTCTACCTCCAAGCAAATAAGAAACTGTTCCAAAATCTTCAGCATAAGCTATCTATTCATTCTCCAAATCAATCTTTTTCAGCAATATTTTGTTTAAAACAAAAATAGCAGTGCCTAGCTCACATCAGGACACAGGAATTAAAATAATATAATAGAGGGGAGAAGGGCGTAAGAACGACAGCATTAAAACTAAAATTTTCAAGTTATGCATTTAGTGCTGTCAGTTTTTTCTTTTGTTTTGTTTTTCTTATTAGACACATGTAAAATCTTTACTGAATGTACAAACTGTTACAGTGTGAGCCAATTTTCCAATTCACTAGCCATCATAAACACACGTACTTTCAGTCGTGCAATAGTCCGATTGATCTCTTCAGCATTTCCCACGGTGACTACGTTCGACTTGAGCATCTGGTCAATCAATACCAACCACTCAGCCAGCTCAGTCGTAGTTTTATCCAGATCAGCAGGTGCAGAAAGTTCCAAAGCCTGCTGAGTCTGAACAGGAATTTCCAATGAAGAAGATACTAGCACCACCTTTTGGACATCTGAAACAGAGTGTGGAGTTTTTGTTAAAGAAAAAACAAACATGGCTACATGTGCAATTGTGGGAGTTTCAGGGTTGTTTCTTAATGATTATTATTTTTTATTTTTATTTTATTTATTTGTATTTCTTTTGTATTTCATTTTTTTGCATTTTAGGCATTTTACCCACCAGAAACTAAGTAATCAGAAATTCCTTTTGCTTTATTTTCTTTAAAGGCTATTAATTACTGCATTGCATGCCAAAGGCTCACCCAAGTGATTCAGTCTAAATTCAAACAAGAAAAAAACTTGCAGAGGCAAAATGACGTGAGGCTAAACACTCTTGGACAGGAAGGGGAACTGACCCTTATAAAACCTAAAAAACAATCCTTTCATTTAAGATAAATTTCTAGAATCGTCTTCCTCACTTTTGTATTATGTGGCAGAAAGGTCTTCCTCACTCTTGGCTTAGAATTCACTTTCGCATAAAGAAATCAAGTTACTCCAATACATTCTTCATGGACTTGGCAATATGCCAGCGTCCTAAGAAGGGACTGATGCCTGCTAGTTCTGCTCCATCTTTTCTGTCTTTTTAACCCGACACTGCAAAAAAGTGAGGAATGTGCTGAACAGCAGGATTTGCTTCAGAAGCTGTTTGGTTGTGTTCTAGTTCCAAGAAAACACTAAATTAAATCAAGCTGGAGCATTAATATCACACACTTGCCTCAAGCAATGAAATACAGGAAATTTACAGAACAAACACCCTGTGTAAAAGGAAAACAAGATGAATCAGGGTTTTGAAAGACTTAACAAAAAGTTGGTTTTCCTTCATTACATTTTGTTTCCTGTTGCTGGACTGACAAAAAAAAAAACAAAAACAAAAACAAAAATTAATTTGCTGAAGTTCAAGCTGCAAATTCTTTCAGGCAAGGGCTTTTTTACATAGTTTTCTAAAAAGGAGTCCTAGACATCTTGTTTACACTCTTTATCTACTGATCTGCCACCTATAACTTGAAAAGTTCAGGATAAATGTATCTAGTATGTGAGAAAGACCTACCTGTGTTCTTACTGAGCTGAAAGATGTAGAATGACCTTTATTTATAGGACTGCAGATATTCTGGATGCAGGTGATACTTTACAAATAATTAGCCATAGGGAAAGCTTCTAGGGGATCTTCATTACTTAAAGGCATGACCACAAAGCACAAAACCACAGGAAACCAAGCTGTCATAAACATAACTATTTTGGTCTTTATTCTGTACCTAGTACACTGACTCCTGATGGGGAGGCCTAAGCTTTACTAAAACATTCCTCCACTACAAAACTCTTAAGGGAATCCCAAATGACTCGCCCAATACTGAATGGCAGAATGACTTTTTCTTTAACTAACTATTCCCTTCTCTCTCTCATACTGACATGAATGGAGCCCAAAGTACAGCTATGGAAAATACTTCCTACTTCCACTTGTTTAAGTGCATAGATAAGGTTTTCCTTTTTTCCTTTCGGATTGTTTTTGACCACAGAGAAGATTAAACAATTAAGCACAAATGACTGCTCACTTACCAGAAGGCTTTGTCTGTGTAACAAGATGAGACTGCCCAACAAATGCCTCCAATTCTCTCACTCTGTCAGGCACCTCTCTGAACACCTACAGCCCGGGAGAAAGGAATAAAAAAAGTAAGACAACCTAGCCTAACAGCAAAAAAATAGTCAGTTATTAGAAGACAAAATATTCTACACCATACTTGCTACAATGGCACATCTCAGGTATATTTCAATGAATTTTTTTCAATACATCATTTAAAAACAATAAAAATGCAAAGTGGTACTCAGTGTGTTATTTCAATATATTCCAGTGTCTTACCTATATCTTGGAGAGAAAAAAAAATGAACTATTGTGGACAGGTTGTTTACATGTTTTTTACTGCCTAAGTATCAAAGCTATGAGTCATCATTTGAGCACACTTTGAAGGAAAGACAACACAAAACGTGATTTGTGGCCATCAGTGACAGGAAAGTAGAGAAACAGATAATTAATTTAAAGAAAAAAAATGCTACCACTAAACTCTGTTGTAGTGCATACAAATTTTTCTATTTTGCTTTTAAAATTATAGAAATGCAATATACAAAGCGGGTGGGGGGGTGGAAGTCCGCATTTTTATGGCTAAGCAGATTAAAAGAGGTAATTTATTCTTACCCTGAAATATCAAAAGTCTATTTCCCCAATAAATTTCTACTTCCTTAACCCATAATATGATCATAGATAATTCTATTCCTTTTTTACCTAGTTCTCCAGTCTCTGCTTGAAAAAAATCTGGTTTTACTCCAACCAGTGACTTGTTTTCTTCTCATACACTTGCCAATGAGATTGAACACTAGAGTTTCTAATTTACAGCAGTTATGCTCCAGAAGAATCCCAGACACACTTGATAAGATTTTCTCACTAAGCTTTACCACAGCTTTGTTTGTTTTCCTTTTCACTGCTGCAAACATCCAACTTTCCTACACACCAAAGGCTTATTGTTACTCTCTCAATTTGAAATGAATACATTACTGTTTTTCTCAAATAAGTGAAATATTTTTGATCCAGTTGTTTAAAAGAAAGCCAATACAAATTCAACAAAAAACCTAAGCTAATAAGACTAATTAATTCTGAGGGAAAAATGCCCACCAGTGTTTTCACATAGACATGGATTGGGGCTTACGTCCTGAACATGACTTAAAAGATATTTTATGTACACGTCAGAAATATATAGCAAAGAAAGCAACCATTCTGAGTATAACACTATATTTGCAACTTCAGGTACAGAATGCTGAAGAAATCCACACCTTATTCCACCTCACGTTGAGGGACTGCAGGCAATCAGAAAATTTCTCTTTTTCCTGAAGATCAACATTTTTATCCAAAAGCACTTCTGGTTCAGTTCTGTTCAGCCACTGCAGATTGTCTCCCTGTACTTCCATCTCCATATTTAAGATCTAAAAGAGAAAGTAGAGTTTTGGACTGAAGTTAAATGCATACATGCTTAAGTAAACTTGAGGGGAGGGAAGCTTTCCTTTAATTCCAATATTAGAAATTTCCCTTGAAATATATAACAGAAAGGCTTCTATTTTTATTTCTATCCTCTGTCTAGAAATTACTAAATTATTTATTTAAATATCAACATATATTGCTACTTGGGAAAAAAACTCCAAAACTGCCAATAGCCAAGGTACCCATACAGCTTCACACCATGCACACGGATTCTCATATCACAAAGATGGTTCTGTTGATCACCTCTGGTTACACTATGTGCACTCAAAAGGCAACACATTGTCTATCAAAATTGTTGGCTACATTCATTAAAAAAATAAAATAAATTAAAATAGTAAAACCAAAGGCCCACTCCTGACATGCGTTACACAAGTACATGGTAGATCACTACAAGGCACATTACTCTTAAGGAAATGTTCTCTAAAAGTGCTCTAAAACTAAATATAACCTTATAATCTCATTTTAATCAGCCTTCCATAGCCACCTTTCTCTTTAAACATGGAAGTGCAGGTAAGATTCTGAAAAAAAAAAAAGAAGCTTGGATTCCCAGTGGCTTTAAATTAATTGAGCTGTCTTTTGTGCATAAGACCACAAGCACTGTGAAGTAGGAATCACAAAATTTGCCTTTAAAGCACTAGAATAACAAAATAACATGTGATACGTATCATGGAGGTGAATGGGAAAAACTGACAGGAACACAGGGATGGAAGGCAGACCACTGAACAGAGTACCCTTCTACAGTAAGCACTATACCAAATAGTCCTTTCCTAAATTTTCATGGGTCTACCTTAAAAGATTTTTTTTTCCAACATGTTAGATCCTTTTAAATCAGAGACTGCTCCAGAAACTCTATTTAGAGATCTCATTCTCATTCCCAGACTGCATTTATTCCTCACTGACCTGTTAACACCTGTTATCCCCACTATCCTACACCAGCCTTTAAATACAGCTCAACTTCCCCAGACTTTCTTATCATCACAGCCCTTCTCACTGTTCGTTATTTAACTAGACAAAGCAAGGCAAGCTCCAAGACCCTGTGCAGATGAGGAGTTCTTCACCCTTCTGAAAAGCCCAGCACTCAGTACACGTTCTATTGCAAACTCACCTTTTCTTAATATACATAACCAAAACTATCAACACATTTCTGCTTCCAGGGGAGGAAGCTGGTACTTAATAATTCCCTACCAGTGCTTCTCTAGTAAATTCTGCTCTTTCCCCCATTTTTCCAATTCTACCTTTCACTTCAGGCATCTATATTCAGGTAAATGACAAGAAACATTATACTTTCATGATAGTCAGATAGTCAATACTCAACTGACATGAGATAAATTGTTTTAGGCAAAAACAGCTACAACTACTTCATATCATTTACACACTTCTGTAGAAATTTCAATCCTTTCTGTCTGATTTAGTCTAACAGAGGTTGTTTTTAAATTACTAATTTCTAAAAGGTGAGCAAGCACACTTGTTGGATTAACTACTCCTTCCATTCTTTTAGGATTCCAGAAACATACTCCTTCACACATCCTACAAACCAAATCCTGTTGTCAAAGCCAGACACAAAATAAACAGGAAAAATACATAAATAAATATCCACCCAAGTTGTTGACTTCATCACTTGAAATTACCAAAACACTTAGAGTTTAAAAAGCAGGTTAAACAAACTATTACACATGTAACGAAATATTAAAGCTGCCCATTAAATGGAAAAATTATGCTTACTTACATTTTAAGCTTACTGACTTTTTTGTCAATTTTGACAATTATGAAGTTGACCTGGGGACAACATCTCCAGTGAAATTCCACTTCCTAAATTTTATCAGTAGTATGTATATTTTTCACTTTCTGATACATAGCCACCATTTTCTGGTTAGATAACACAGCTGTCTTCTAAACCCAACTTCATCACAAGACGCATCTTGCCTGTGTAAGTAATCTCACTTAACTGCCTCATACAACCAGAATGTTTCTTTTGTTATTTACAATGTGAAAATTCCCCTCTCCAAAAGGCATGTTCTGATACTTTGTACATGTGCATACACACAGACACACTAATTGATCTTGCCTGTAATTCCCTCAAGTTTTCTTCATGGTTGAATGTAAATCTTGTGTCCAGAGCATTTTCTACATTTTCCAACCAGCAACGCAGCTCATCAAGCTTCTTTCTGTACTCTATCAGCTGCTGATTGTCTCCTTTTAGCCTTAAAAAGGAGAAAAAAACCAAAAAAATCACATGCATTTCTGCAATAAACACAGCATGTCAGTCCTACATCACTTCTGATGCAACCTTTGGGCCTAGTTATTGTAAGTGACTACAAGGTCACTGTCAGTGAAAGTATTAGAAATGTCCCTAAAAAAAATAAGCTCAATCACACAAAGCTTTGGTGGAACTAAATAATTAAGAGAAATCTTATTACATTTCTAAATGTATCAGGAGATGTTAAAAATGTAAAATTATATAAATAGCCTCAAAAATTAGGTATTCCAGGGATTTATCTTTACACAATTTTTTAGCAGTAAGAACAGAGATGGGACCTTATATTCACAGATACACTGAAAATTTGTGTCTTTATCTCAGACAAGTTTCTTTCTCTGGAGACACTCAAAACCCACCTGGACACATTCCTGTGTAACCTATTCTAGGGCATCCTGCACTGGCAGGGGGGTTGTAGTACATAATCTTTCGACATCATTTCCAGCCCCTAACACTCCGTGATTCTGTGTGATTCTGTGATACTTCCAAATGGATTTTCATTTTGTTTAGAAAATTGCAAACACAGAGCTAAAGATCTTTTCTTACAGCATTGTGGAAGCCTTAAGAACAATCAAAGCGTTTCAATTAGTGTATCTTTGACAATGTAAAAATAGAAATCTAGGTAAAGTACTCACAGCTGAGCTTCAGCCAGAGAAAGCAGCTGAGTATTCCTTCTTTAAAAAGTCTGGCTTAATAATAACATTATTTTATAAACAAAGGAAAATTGTAGCAGAAGTAGTTTTGTGGTTGTCATTTGTTGTGCTGTGTTAAGCACAGACTCACTAAGCAGTCAGTTGCAGGTGCATTTATAATAAATTGATTCTAGGAGACAGTTCAAAAGACAGAGATCTTGCAATGCAATAGAATGTACTATCTCTCTCAAGAGTCTTCTAAATGAGATTCTTCTCATAGTATCTGGTCAGACATCCAAATTTCAGATTAACTTATTACCTTTGTTGTCTATCCATGACCTCTGTGGTGATTGCTTTCCAGCGTCTATTCAATCCCGCCAGCTTCTCCTGCAGGAAGCTCCCATCTGTAGCAGACAGTTTCTGTATGATTCCTTCCCCAGTTCTGTTCAATGCTGAAATGCTGGCCTGATGGCTGCTGACTCCTTCTTCAAGTTCCTGTCAGAAACATACAAGCCACACAGAATTTTATTACCGACCTAAAGTGACTTTGATCTGTGGCTTATAATATGCAGGATGAAGCAACATCATTTTACTAAAACAGGTACTCAAAACCACCTTACTTAAAATTGGATGCTGTTGATTTAAGTTATTACGAGTCTGTTGTTGAATGTAGTTCAGCTTCTTACTGAGAGTCACAAAAACATATTGACAGAATAGCCTGCTGAATACTACTTAGGACCATAAGAAATCATTTAAACCGTTAGTGCTAGAATCCACACTCACATTTTGTTCCTTCCCTCTTAATGTACAGCACTTCCTATTAGTGTTACCAGATGGTATGAATTTATTTTAACTAGTTCTTTTCATAAACTATGTCCCTGACTACATCTGTAACTTAACAGCATTTTAGCTAGGATGGCTGTGCTGTCACGGTCCCCAGAGATTAGAGAAAATCTATGAAAACACAGGAATTCAGAAGATATCAGAATCAAACCTTGATATATACCTAACAGCCACACACAAAAAAAAAATAAAAAATCTTACATTGTTTGTTAAAATTTCATTGCAACTGCATCAGGAATGAGATGTTTCAAGAAAGAGAAGGGGAATGCCCTAGAAAACTCAAGCAGCAACAGGGATAAAATACAAACTGCATGTTAGGCAGAACATACATTTCTTGAGCAACCCATACCTAACTCTTGGATAACCATTCTTCCCAACAGAAAGGAAAAAAAAAAAATCTGATCCTTAAAATTATGTTTTCTTCTCCTTAAAAGGAACTGAAGTAATTTGGCTAAACAGAAAATATTTCTCTTCCATAATTATGAACTAGAAAAACACAAGGGAATTAAATTCCAGAACTGAAGTCTGAAACACTCAAACCGAAGTCATCTGTGACTGGAATCTTCTCTTTTTCTAGATTGCTTAAACAAGGCAGGTTCTTGCAAAGTCATTAGTTAGGAAAAATAATTTACTAAGTTATAACTGACTACTGTCAGGGTCCTTTTTTTAAATTACAAGTAGAAAACAAGTGAAATAATACACTGGATTTCTTTCTTTTCAAAGCTGTAATGAAACTTATAAAACAACAAAAATTATGCCAACATTTGAATTATCACATTATCTCAAACCCATGTATACTAAAAGCCATCAGAAAAATCCCCTACTATAAGCAAGAGTTGAAACCTTTCCTGAGAATAATTTTAAACTGCAACTGAAAAAGAAATTTTAAGAGTCATCACTTTTTAAAGTGTAATTGCACAGCCTCATTTCAAATCTGTATGTCTATATAGAAAACTAGAATTTTAGACAAAAATTACACATTTTCCAGCTTGCTTATTTTTCTGCACAAATCATACATACCTGCTGATGCAGGCCAGCTGTCTGTAGCTCCAGGCTGCCATCTGGACCCTGGGCATCAGCTAATAACACTTCAGCTTCCGTTATCCAGTGGGAGAGGTCATTGAGATCACAGTGGAACTGCCTCCACGCCTCTATTGCTCTATCAAAGCAACTGTTTGAAAACAAAGCATTGAAAAATTATCCAAAATGTTTCAGGAAAAAGGCTATGATTTCTATTCCAGTGAGTAGAAACTTTCCTTGTGAAACAGAAAGGCTTGAGTACAGCCTGGTTAACAAGGTCCAGTACTGAAGGCTTCCTGACATAGTAGCAGCTGGTACAAACAAACAGCACAGACTGTCATTGACTTCCAGCTGAAGGAAAAAAGGCCAGTTCTAAGCAAACTTTTGTTTCTATCACTAAAAAAATAAAGATTGATTAGCTGCCTCAAATTAGGCTGCAGAACCCTTTTTTTCTTCATTATAAAATGGTTCAGATATCAGACAGTATGGAACATGAAATATGATTAATTGCTCTCATATTTATTTATTTTTTTATTCATAAACCATGGGGTGCTGGTGCATGGAATTTAATAAGTGAAGGTAATTATGATTATATAGAACTGTATTACCAGTGGGTCCACATAAGTTGGTCTTATACAAATTAATCACACAATAACTTATCAAGCATTTCATTCTTATTACTATCTTTGCAGCCTCAAATTAATATGTCACTTAACGTCGAGAGCAACATTTTCTAGCATGGAACAGTCTGAATTATCACAGTTAGAAGGTTATTTTTAACTAAAATGAGAGTTCTACTAGGTTTACAAACTAATAAAAACAGCCCAGGGATACTAACTAAGAAAACTGTGTCAGAAAGGCTTAGAGAGTGTGTCTTGCTTTTTACTTGTTCATTGCTAACTTTATGTTAGCATTATAAAGCAAACAGGACAGGTGCCTCAAAGGACACAGGGCTTGAGATAAACAACATGAAATCTACATCAATGCAAATAGACTGGATAATATCCCATTCCAAACTTAAAAAAAAAAAAAAATTAGTCTTCTTTAGGAAGCCAGATCTCCTGTTCATCAGAGGACTCTCTAACGTAACATAAGAAAGATCTCATCTTTCCCATTATTTTTGTCTTAAACAATTTAAACAGAAAAAGACTCCAAGGTTACTGCTTTATACAGATGCAATCTGAAAATAGCAGCATAACATCAAAGATATCCAAAACCAAAATTTAAAAAGCCATTTAATCTATTTCCTTCACTAATTAATTTCAACGATCCAAGTTCCTATTGAGATTTTCATGAAAATTATATCTCATCATTATCATGATTGTCATTATTCTCTTGGTCCATGCAGGGCTTCTTTGTTATTATTACTCATGTGAGCCAATTCTAATAAAGAAGAAAGCTTTTTAAATCTCTACTTAATTTGTTCAGACCCTCCCTTTCGTTCTACTGTTTCAGTTTCCTGCATGCATCTCATTTCACTACACTACACCAACCTGTAGACTGACCCCACACATCATTCTCCTTTTATTTCTCAAGTACATTTTAGTCTAACTGAACATATTGTCTCATGATCTCATTCCACATTTAATGAGAAGAGATATTCTAAGCACTTAAAATAGTTTAAAAGACTATTTTATTGGCTAGCTTCAAAATGAAAGTTTCTGGGAAAGTTTTGAACATGTGACATTTTCAGAATCCAGAATTTTAGAACTTTAGAGGACAATGCTTTGAGATACAAAAAACAGCCAACAGTGCCTGCTAAGTTATTAGAAATCCTGATGTTTCACTGATCCAGTAGCCAGAATTTCTGGAAGTCTCTGCTTAGACAATACCATCAACCAAATTTTATATTCCCACACATACACCAGTGCCCTAAAAGTTGAAAACATAAGCTTAAGTAGTACATACTTCCCTGAAGTACCTCTTCAAAATACACTACCAAATGTGTTTCATATCAGATTTCTGTGCTACAAAGCAAGTGAACATGGCCAAGACATCATTTTATGCTCTGCAGAACATAAGTGAATTTATATAAGTGAAATTACAGCTATTTGATCTTTATGGAAAGGAAATAGAAAATACATTTTTCTTAATCATTGATTTCAATATTCTCTTGTTCTCTCAACCACAAAATTTTCTAATATGGTCATCTCTCATCTTCAATTATTTACAAAAGATACTACTGGTAACTATCATACATGCTGTATTTTAAAGACCCTTTCAATCTCTTTCAATCTCCTTCCCTCCTTCAAAAGCAGACTTGAATTGTTAGATGTCCTGCCTAACATTTTCTTCAATAGCTTTGCTTTGTGGTAACTTTACAAAACTAAAATTTTGTTTTATAAACAAAATCAGCTTCATAAAAATCCAGGCTACAATTTGCATGTCAAGTGTTTTAAAATTCAATAATTATGGCAATTATTGTGTAATACTAATATATTAAGGGTGGTTGCTCCCAAATTCTTCACCCTTACCATTAGGTCACATGTGTAAATTGCTTATATTCAAGTACATAAAATATTTACCACGTGGTCACAGGAACCAAACATCCTTCACTTACCACTTCCGATCATTGTACATTCTATTAATTCTATCCCATTCCGCATTCAACTGGGTTAGTGCATCTCCTATTTGTAACGCCTCAGGTCCAGATGCTTCTAATATAACATCAGGCTGCTTCTCATGAATGACAGCAATTTGATCTCCAAGTTTATCCAAAACATCTTTTATGTTCTGCAAGCACAGTAACGACAGAAGTCATTAGTAAAGTCAACATTACCAGGAAATAATTAATTTTAAAAAAACAAAAAAAAAAAATAAAAAAAATAAAAACCACCACAAAAGAAGAAGTGATCTCTTCAAAATACTTTTCCAAAAATCAGCAGTATATTTATTTTTAAACAAATCTGCCCAGTGTGATGAAGAAACTCTACATATTCATAGAATCATAGGACAATTAAGGTTGGAAGGGACCTTAAAGATCATCAGGTTCCAACCTCCCTGCTATGAGCAGGGACACTTTGCACAAAGCCGCATCCAACCTGGCCTTGAGCACCTCCAGGAAGGGGGCTTCTACACCTCCCTGGGCAACCCATTCCAGCACCTTACTACCCTCATGGTGAAGAGTCTCCTCCTGATGTCTAACCTGAATCTACCCTATTACAGTTTAAAAGCATTATCCCTTGCCCTGTCACTATCGTCTCTCGTGAAAAGCCCCTCCCCAACTTCCCTGCAGACCCCATTCAGGTACTGGGTGTGACTTCATTATGCTTCGCATAACCTCCCATATGCACAGAACTGCAAAAGCCTAAGTTACATAGAAGTTTTAGATTTAAATGACGAAGTTAAAGCAATCTATCTCAAATATCATTGAACTATGATGTGAAAATACCTTTAAGCCAGATGCTGCTGTAATACTGCCTTGGTATTCAGAAAACAAACACTCCATGCAAACTGTGGCATTTACTTATCTATTTGAATTTAAAACAGTAATATTTCTAAAAATGCTATGCTCTTCTATTTGCTTCTTCTGAAAACAGCCTTATAATAGGACTAAATTTCAAAATCAGATGAGAGACCTGAACCAAAAAGAAGTATTTTAAACCCTTTTTAACATAAACACTCCTAATTGTACTTAAGGGAGAACGGTAGCAGAGTAAACAGGGACAAGAGATTCTCATCAGCAAAACAGAAGTGTCAGCCACATTGTCAAAGATCAGCATCATTCCCCTCTTTACTTTTGAAAACTATGCCAAACATATTTGAAAAATGAAAGCATGTTCATAGCAAAAAAAAAAAAAAAAAAAAAAGCAGGTTGAAAAGTGGACTGAAATTTTTAAAAGCTTTTAAAGGACCTCTATATCAGCTGCCGAAACAGCTGATCTACCTCTAGGTAAGAGGCAAAGCCTAACCAGCTCAAATATAAGGACACATGGACTCCACATTATGCTGCCTATCTACACTGCACCACATCATGTACAATTCCCAGCTCCAATAGATGTTTTCTCTGGGATTCTCCATATCATGCTCCTTTGCATACTCAAAATTAACGAGGATTCAGACTTCTACATACTTAACTCACATTTGACAGCAGGATTCAATATTTTCAAACATACTTTTTTCATCCCTTTTTGAAGAAGGGCAAGTCTTTAACTACTTCCTCATCATTAATCCCATGGGTAAATCCACTGGCTGGCAATGAGGAGTGGGAGCTTAAAACTGACCATATATGCATGCTTTGCTATATCAGAACAGGTACTGCTGTCTTGTGGCCTCATGTATAGCTTCATATAAAAGTCAAGAATCTCCCTTTCTCCCTCTTTCCACGTAACCAATTGTTTACACATGATTCAGAGAACAGCAGCTGTATTAAGAATAAGCAGGAACGTAAGGAGATTGGCTTGAGCATTTCTCTGTGTATTATACAGAGTAGGTGACGAAAGCACAACAGTATCTCAAAAAAAAAAAGTCAAACCCTTCTCTCCCAACCTCCCACCCAGATTCCACTCTGCTGCACTTCATATCCAGATTCTGCATAAAAGAAAAATTAGTCACAAAGTTGTCTCATTGTTTAACTTTCAGTGCATATTGATCAGAATATACTGAACAAAAAAACAAATGGACCTCTACGGTCACTAAGGTGCTCTTTTTTTCTGCTGCCATTCCTTTCTCCCATTCTTCCCTCTGAATGTAATGCTTAGGCATGCAGTACCTTCAGTGCATCTTCCTGAGTTGAAAAATCCTCATAGATGCCAGTGTTCAGCTCCGGTGTATTCAGCAGCAGTTCAACATCAGTCATGGCCAGCAAGACTTTGTTGATTTCAACCAAGTATTCAGTCGCAAAAGGCAAGGTCCTAACCCCTGCGGCAAAGTGGCCTTTTAACCTCTGCTGGACAGGGATTGCCTAAAAACATGAAGGTTCATTTTGTATTTCAAAGAACAAGCAACTTTATTAAAAAATCCCAAATCAGTAGACTATATTCAGAATCACTACTTTTCTATACTTAGAAGATGAAACAAAGGCCTTTCTAGCAACATTGCAATTTCAGAAAGCTGCAAGTCCTGCTGAGAACCTTTTCTATATTTATTTTTTAAAAGTTAATAAAGAGCAGGTATCATGCTTCACATTATGTTTTATTAAAACTCTGGGGAGCAGGAAGGACACTGCTGTTTCTCTCACTTTGATCCTTACCATTTCCAGTAATTATGCTCCTTGACAGAGCATGTATCTAGTTGTGATTACAACCCACTGTCTGCTTCCTTCACCATCATCAAGGACTCCCAGAAGTTACCAAATTACTGAAGTGTATTTGTTTTTCCTCTCCACATTCTTCTCAATGAGCATCCCCACACAGACTTCCCAAACATTTTTTAAATCAATTAGTGCTAAAGCAGTACTACAATTTGCTTTTTGCAGCAGTAAGAGACACTAACTCCTCAAGAGCTTGGCAATTGTTATCTGCTCTGGTTGCAAGACCAGGCTATCAAGCCAAGTACCATGTTAGCAAATAAGAAAGCAAGAAGAGAAATTTAATGTAGCTTTTTCTTGGATCATAAAGCCTGGACCTGAAGCATTAGGAAGTCAGCTCCAAAAACCTATATTCTGCCATGCCAGGGAAAGGTAGCTGAGGCAGGTGAAACAAATAGCCTTAAGACTGAAAGCAGGTTTTTTTGCTGAAAAGGTTTCTTGATCAACAGGATTCTGTTACCATATCTGAAAACAGACTAGTTCTTTAAAATCAACAATTAAAAAGTAAATTCACCTCTAAACAGCAAAGAATTCAAGCGATTCCTAAGACATCCTGTACTCAGTGAATTTTAGTAAAGCAAGAGAGAGACAGAGGCACCTGACTGTATGATTTACTAACAGCTGAGAATACACTTAAGAGTGTGAAGAAAAAATGTACATTCACAGCATTTAAATAGTGAATTTTATTTTGCAGTTAGTCTGGGCTGGATGTAGACACAAAAATCACTAGCACAGATGAGAACCAGTAAAATATTAAGCCCCACTAAAAAAGTTGTTTGCAAACACCTGTATGTATCTTCCTCCTCTACATGCTTCAGAGCATTTCAAATACGTCACTCAAATTAACTGGAATCAAACATATGCAGCATGTGTAGTTCAAAGGAGATAAAGGACTGCCATAGAAAAGGTTCATGTATTCACTATTAAAGATTTCTTCTCTTTCATCAAATGCTCCTAAAGATTTTGTTAGCTTTGTATTGTTTTGGTTTTTCTTGTTTTGTTTCCTTAGAATCATCCCTGTATTGAAACTGGGGACAGAGTCGTATTTCCACAAGACTTTTACCACCAAAATGGCATGCCTTCAGTCACTTATTGCACACCAAAGAAATAAGAGATGAAGGCATATAAGCAGAAATTCAGTCTACTGAAAAGAGGCATTAGAGACAATCATCATAAAATACTCAGCATTGCTTCCGATTCAATAACAGCACAGCAAGCAAGCACCACAGTAAAAACTGTGACTACTCCATATGCTTTAGTTACAAATCCAGCATCTTGGTCTTGGACACAAACACATTTTCTTGATGTGCTGTGTATATTTTGTCCGTTTCCACTACTGAAATTCGGAGTAAAAGGCCAAGGCTTAGACAATGGTATGATTTCTTGTGGCAGGTGGGGCCCCAGCTCTAAACAAAACAGACAAAGCTTGTGCAATTTAAAGTATCTTTTCCCCATTCATGAGTTATAAGTCTGGATTTGAACAAACATCAGGATGCCTGTTGCACCACAGTTGCCTGTAACACCTTCACAAGGTGGTTTTCTCTAAATCTCCATCATACCAGAAGTCCTATTCTCACAAAGGCAATAGATCAGAATATGGATGTAACCCAATTGAACAGGTGACTGGACTTTACTATCTTTCTACTTTGCACACTTTGCTTTATCCCCCATTAAAAAGAAACTTGCACAAGATTTTAAAAAAGCATCTGTTGGCATGCAGGAAATTTGTTGTCCACTTGTTGCCGATACTGACATATACTGAAACTTTCTGCTTCCCCGTAGCACCAGCCTGGGCCAAGTTGTTCATCTTCTGTATTGCAGTAAACTCCTCTTGGTGTTATTCCTGCAGAGCACACCTCATTACTATCTCCTCCAGCTGCCTCCCATCACTGATACAGTGTTTTCTCCTTCCACAACCTTTCTCCTTCTTAAAGGTAAATGTGCTATAAATACATTAGTGCTTTCATACAGCTGAGTTTTAATTGTTCAGTTGTTCTCTACCTTGCAATGCAGACTGACAGCTTCAAAAATACAGTATAAAGTACTAAAAGACAGAAGAGCAGACATTTGACAAAACTATCCTATGCAAATCAAACACTTAAGTGTCTCAGAAACTCTTTTTTAGGTATTTTAATTTTTTATTTAAATTAAAAAATAAATTAAAAAGCCAGCAGGCAAACTCTTTCCTTAAGCACCCACAAAAAGAAGTTGATCAAAGATTATTTAGGAGGAGATCTGGCTGGATTACACTTTTCTCTTTTCATTTCAGCAGTGAGGAAAAAGAGAGATACTCAGTTACTATTGTACATTATATAAATAGGGCTTTTCAGTGAAAATTGCTAAAAATATAATTAATTTGGTAGTCAAATCAAAAGTTGTTTCCTCCTCGTTCAACCTGCAATTCAGAATTTGGTTTTAGATTTGCTTCCCCTTTTACACTTAAATATGTTTTGAAACAAAATCTACCAAAGATTCAACTCAAGGAGATACTCCAACTTGCTTCCAAGCGGATCTTGGAAAATAATGTCCAAGAAATTGACATTAAATGGAATAATTTGCTTTACACGTTTAGCTACATAAACATTTTAACCAAAAGTATTTCCCCAGGTTAATCTCAGATCACCACACATTACTTACTGTCTTTGCAAATAAATAGGCCTTTGATTAGAAATGCTCACTTTTTAACTATTCCTTGTCCCTTCTGCCTCACACTCAAAATATTTCATCGCCAGTTTTCTAGGAAAAGGTTTTCCAAAGCCAAAATACGTCCATTTTATGTGTTTCTCTGGGTTAATTAGTGCAGTTCGTAAGGAATATATTTGTGGGCAATATAGCTAATGGTTCATATTTAAGTAACACAGAAGCTTCCCTATAAAAAGCCCAATAGGCAAACATGTTTTCTTTATTACAGGAATAATACTTCAAGAGTCTTCAAGATGGTTCTATGTTTGATTTTACAGGAAAAATTGCACTGTGCCTGCAACAGCAAATTTACTCACCATCTGCAAAATCATCATTTTCACTTCAAAATGGTTTCCTAAAACCTGTAAAAATCTCTCAAGAACTTCAGTCAACTAATTACCTCTGCAATTTAAGGTATAATTTTTCCTTTCCCTCAGAACAGAGCAAATTAAATAAACACTAAAGCAAGGTTAGAAAAAGAGAAAGTAAAGGAGATATAAACTTCCAATGCAGGCTTTTCTAGCTAACAGATTTGTGGCAAAACAAGGGTTATTCAGAAGTACCTGCTATGCAGGATTACCAATATTTCAGAAGCAGTTAACTCCATAATCCCTAGAAGTATACATGATGAGGAATATTTATGACCCAGCTACTTCCAGCAAATCAATATATATATAATCATTCAAGCATCATAAATAAGTCCCCTCCTCCATACTTATTTACAAAATGTAAGTAACATATTACATAAAACACTAACTGGAGTCTACTCCCCAGTGTGCCAGCTGAAGTCTATCCTTCCCTCCCTATTTGTTAGTTTCAAACACTATTTCTCTTCCTCTGCCCAGTGCACCTTCTTACGTCAAGGTGAGAGGTTGAGTCAGCGGCTCACCAGCAGGTCAAAAATTCATTTAGTGCTTCTCAGTTCTGAGCTGAGACGAGCAAAAACCACTTCAATTTGCTATTTGTTAGCCAGAGGGGCCCTATGGATACATCCAGGTTTCCCTTTCCTCATCTTCATCAGAGAACCCTATTGACTAAGAATGGGGGAGAGAGGATATTCAAGCACAGAACAGATGGTAAGAATTAGGGAGAGGAAGTTTCTGATGCAGAATTATTAGCATTAGGATTGCCCCTGGTGCTGAGGGTAACTCAAGTCTGGTGGCTAGAAGAAAATTCTGGAGCAACTGTGTTTAACCAAAATAACGATGTTATTTGGGGGACACTGTTTCTCCCTTCAGAAATGCTACTATCCCATACCAATTTTTGCGGTTAATATCAATTAGTAAATCAGGTGAAAGAACGAGCCATCAAAGTAAAATATGGTCACCTGACACAGGCTGGCTTGCCACTCAAATACCAGAAAGTTAGAGGCACTGGCACATAAACAAAAGCAACAGTTTCCAAGCCCCACGGCAATAATGAAAACTTCTGCAGTCCCTTTCTGAAAGCCTAGCTGACTCAGCCAGACTGAAAACTATATCTGGAAGTATAAGGATATTTTTACACAACTATCAACAAAGATAGTTTCTGCATCAATAGTCTATTGTAATTGCTCCGGTAACCCATATTTACATGATATTCTGCATTCAGCACCCAGATACCATGATCCAGGAACGAAGCCAGCAATACCAGGGATCAGCTGCAGTATAACGCTAAAGAAAAGGGCTTTATAGGAGGCAAAGGTTCTTTATTACAGAAGATCAGTCAAACTGCAGCAAAGCCAACAGTAACAAGGAAGACTGGTCTGTGCAAGGACTGGACTGTTCCCATTAGTGAAGAACCATCAAGGTGCACAGTTTTCCCTTTTCAATCCAGTAATCAAATCACTCAAATTAGCTGATGACCAAACAAAAAACAAATCATGTTGGTTTACTTTAAATGTGTATGGATCCCCACTTCCTTCTAACAAATTCCTTGGCACCACTGAGGTCCCAAGAAGCTCATGTGACCACTGGGAACCCAATAAAGTGGTCAGATGTTGCACAATTAAACAGACCATGGGCCATCTTTGCTGCCCAGCTTTGTGTGAGGCTTATAATTTAGAAAACACTTTTTAAAGAGAAGCAGATTTCAAAGTTTTACTTTCATAGCTGCTACTGAATAGCCTGCATGACCAAGGAGTGCCAACTGTCTGCCATAGGTCTACAGCTATCATAGGCAGCTGAAGCCACACAACACTGCAGCTGAGAATGAAGCAGCACCACAGTACTATTTTGTGGTGTGGCTCTCACAGGTAACCAGAGCATTTTACCCCTGTCTCCAAGTTAATTGGTGCTGGGTTAAGAAGCTACAGAGCAGTCAAAAAAGACTGATTTATTTTAATTATGAAGTTTCATACACAGAAACTGAGAAATACTTGACAGACTGCCAAGCCCCCAAGCTTGTTCAAGAAATTACTTACTGTTTCAAAAGGTTCCTCACTGACATTGCCCAAAATATTAATGTAATTACCATGTGCCCAAAGTATTTTGAAGAATGAAAAGGAGAAATATAATTTAAAGAAGAAAAAAAACAACCAAACAAAAAAAAAAAAACCCACACCAAACCACAACAAAAGAAAAAAACTCACTGAAAATATCTGTACCCTCAACAATTAAGACATACAGCTTTCTGGGCAGTAAATTTTATCAGACCCTGACATCCTATTAAATCAGTTGTGAAATTGTTTGTCAAGACTTGCACACACATTATCATACAGATCTCTTCTCATCACAAATACTTCCACCTTTGTCATTTTTATTAATCTTCATTGTGTACAGCACTAGCAATCATATGAAGGTAGTTATCACTCCCTAAGGACTTGAGGCAGTGAAAGGGAATACCAGAGTAGTTGAAGTATCCCAGTCACAAGATGCGGAGGCACTGAGTTTAAGACACAAATTAGGTTTTTATCATACATACACCAATCAGACAATGAAGGAGGCTATTTGAGCCAGGGTATCAAAAAGAGCCAAGCATAATCCCCATAAGCAAGAATGGCAAGAGAAACTGTCCTGATTTAACACCACCACCCAGATCATGCTCTAACACTTAGCCTGATGGCTGGTATATTTTGGATCTATGAAAATTATATAAAAATCTTAAACTAGACTATGCAGATAATTTCCTAATGAAAAATTAATGCTGTCATTTTAAAAGCACTTTTTTTCCAAGAAGGTTTCAAGAAAACAGCCACAAAGCCATAACGTATGAATCTCTAAAGCTCATATATAGCACTCACTCTGTCTGTTCTAAGAATAAAAAGTCTTATTTACCTGTAGTTTTTGTTCATCTTCCACACCTTGCAGTCCTGACAGACGGTGCTCAGCCTCATCCAGCCACTTCATTAGGCTGTTGTGTTCCTTCTTATACTGGGAAAACACTGGCGAGAGTTCCACTACCTGCCTCTTTTGAAACGACCTGCACTCCTAATATCCAGTGCATTAGGAAAATACAATACAAGAGGTAAGTAATGAACAGGATAGGTCTTATTTAGTTGAAAAAATAAAAATATTTGAAGGATTCATTTGAAGAGCAAATTCCAAAATATGCAATAGTAGCCATTTATGTTTTTAAATAGCTAAATTCTCTATTTATCTGCACAGACATGCAATCAAAGCCAACCCAAGGGTCCTACCCTGCCTTTGAGCTACAACTCACTTTACCAACTCTAATATGATTCAAACAGGCAAGCTAAAAGGACTGTAAGAATATGGATCCTCTTTGTTCTACACAAAACCATTTTTAACATGGCAGGTGTATGAAAGCACTACAACATACCAGAGTCCAAAACTGCCAATAATACCCCCTTGTGGGAAGCAAGAGAAATTCAGGAGTAGGCTCATTAACACAAAGCTCTTCATCTGAGAACTCAACAAGTATGTCTGTGTACATGTGTCTACGTAGTCACTCTTCACACAGTCTGGTGGTGGAGACAAACCTCTGGTGGTGGGCCAGCAGAGATGAGTGAAGAAAATGCCCAACTGTCTGCACCCATCAGTGTAAAGACATAGAGAGTGGCCCTTTGTGAAGCTGTGAAAAGAACTTAGAATCAAAAGCACCCACTCAAAGCTTTGGAATGATAAAATTCGTATTTTGGAATTGCAAATATTCAGAGAGTCAGAGTACATGTGTGTGCACATTTAACTCTCCCCCAAATAATCTTTTACACTAAGTTATAACCAGGTTATAAATGGGATAAACAAAGGGAAGACTACTTAAATGAGCTTTAACTATAGTAACTACCCTAATCATACCTGCACACTGTTGTATTTTTTCTGCAGCAGCAACAGCTGTATGCGAATCTTCTCTCTCATATCGTCCTCCATAGGCTGCTGTAACAACTGCCCTCCTCTCTGTAAAACTTCTTCAATCTGAGTTCTTTCTTGATCCAGCTAAAATTACACAAGTCTGTATTATCTACAAAAAGCTCAGCTATTGTTTCCAAAATTAATTTCTTACCTCCTCAGGTATTAACAGTAACAGTACCAAATTGTTTTATTATCTAAATATGAGCTAAACAAATTAAGCAAAGATTCTCCTCAACAACTACCAACATGGTCATTCCAAAAACTTCATGAAGAGATGCCCTGCAGGAAGCCCATTCAATGAAGCAGCAGTAGGCAGCCACAGCAAGAGTTATTGTCTTGCTGTGAAGTCAATGGAGCTATGACTTCAGCTTCATTTCTATTCTGACAATAAGTAAACTGAGAGCAAAATTGCAAGAACACAAAAATATAAAATATATAAAAACAACAAAAAGGGAAGTATAAGTTCTATAACAATAGGTCCTTCTATAGAGGCCTTTAAAAATTGTTTTTTTGTCGTATTCATGGCATTTTTCCTAGACTTATAGCCAATTTTCCAGCTCAGTTCATAATATTTCATGTGCTTAAAACAAAGGTAGATAGGGTGGTCTGGCAGGACTTTACCTAGCTTTGTAGCCAACAAGGCTACTCTGGATAAGAGGGAAACATAATATGACAGTTTTATACTGGAGGAATGGTAGAGCATACAAAAGAATCCAGAAAAAAACAAATTTTGTTCCTAGGTCTTATTTGGACTTGCTATGAGCCATATCACAACACTCTTATTTGCACCTCATCTTGCAAACATCCAGTGACCTGACCTATGTACTGTGATTTACTATATATTTTATTGTATTGTATTTTATTGTATTATGTTATAAACCAGTTTAAATTTAAAAGCAAAAAAAAGTATCTACTCAATGCAATAGATTACAGGCTCAAAACTGCCAAATACATAGTACAAGTCTAGGCTGCATTAGGTGATCATTTCAATGAGAGTGCAGACAGAAATTAAGTGGGAGGGGGAAATAGTTTTGCACCCTATTATTTTTCCAGGAAGGATTCCTTATATACCACTACTTTGAGTAGAAGAGAGAAGTAAAAATTAAAGTTCACTACCTTAATTTAAAAAAAAAACAAACATGAAAATACAGACTGGTGTCTGACTACTCTCAGTGCACCAGTGAGGAGGCAGCAGCTATGGAAAAAGTATGGGAAATTTGTGCAGTGTTGCCAGCAGTGTAGTGATTCTGTTTATTTTCTATTCCTGTCTTAAAAGGATTTGCTCAGAAGAATTTATCCTCAAAATCAGATGGAATGTAACACATAGACAAAATAGAAAATCCATTGCTCACAAACCTTTTCATCTTCCCCACTCAACTCCTGATGTTTTTCCACAACTTTTAACATATTCTGTATGTCAGCCTCAAATTTTTCCAGGTCTGGAAAAGCTACTCTGACTTCACGGGGCTCTGACATGCCAGGAAGTCGTTCCTGTCCAACAAGCATCTGCGAAGCAAAATAGAACTTTGTTAAAGCTAAAAATTTAGTCTGAGTTTAATCCAGTTGAAGAAGTCTACCACAAACAGGCACACTAGTTTGTAGGAACATCAGATATCAGCATTAAAAAAAAATTGCAAGAGTTGCTTGATGTAACACTGAGAGTTAGCTTGGACACAAGTTGATAGGTATGACCAAGCTCCTACCTTCAAACTTCAATCTGAGCATTTTGGTCTCAAACCAAACAAAAAAAAAAAAAACAAAAAGAAAACCAACCAAAAACAGTCACCTTTGTTTATGGTGTTCTGTAGTTCATATAAATATGTAGTGAAATATTTACACTTTTCTAACACAGTTATTTGTAAATTTTCCCTTATAACTCAAGTCATCACCTGCTACTCAGGTAAAAAAAGCAGCTGGTCTAAAATCAGTCTGTCCAGTTTTCCCATATAGGTATCTAGACTTAAGGAGAGAATCGAAAGCAGCGCTGTTCTCACACATAACGATCTATTCCCAAAAGCTATTTGCATCACTTTGGCACAGACTTCCCCTGAGTGTGTTTTGGGACTCACTCATTCTCACCTTGGCACTTTTGATGTGCTGAGAGAC